GGACAGCCTGCTTCTCCCTCTGCCTCTGCCTGCCACTCTGCCTACTTGCGCTCTCTATCTCTCTATCAAATGAATAAATAAAATCTTAAAAAAAATAAATACATAAAACGTGTTTTGCTGGGAAGGAAGTAGGAGACTTACGCTTGGCCCGCCTCCGTGCATCTTCAGAGCGCGCACCGTAGCCACCAGCACGACTGCGTTGGGCACCAAGCCAGATGCTCGGCACTTGATGTTGAAAAATTTCTCCATTCCAATATCAGCACCAAAGCCAGCTTCAGTTACTGTGGAGAATCAAGGTGGAAACTTGCTATCATCTTCTCAAAACAAGAGTAAGTTTTGGCCATCGTCGGTATGACTCGGGTTCAAAGGACAGCTGAAATTCCCCATCACCTTGTTCCTATGCATTCCTATGCATTCCTATGCAACGGGACACTGATTTTCCCACAGTCATAGAAAATGTTCCTCTTCCCTCTGTTCTCTAAAAAGATGGCTCTCCACTCTGCTTTAGACCACCATGCCTTAAGGATTCATTGCGAAGGCCAAGATTCTTCTTCCAGTATGGACACCCAAAGCAAAGCATTTCTTACCACAGATGGCGTCAACTTTTTAATTGGGTTCCAGACTGCATCAAAGGACATTGCTAGCATGATTACCATAGAAGACCCTTCTTACTTTTTTACAGCATGCATAGAATCATTTATTTAATGCCACCTGGTCATTTCTGTCAATTGACAAAATTCAAGTTAGTTGAGTGGCTTAAGAAGATTAATCATCAGGCTTGATAAGATAGCATCCTTCTTCCGTAAGCACAGACGACATTCATCTTTAGCCATCCCCTCCTCTGCCTCCAAATTGCTAGAAATGTTACTGTGGAGGTAGCTGAGAGAATACCTAACATTGCCCTCCAAGATATGACTGTTGACTGGCATGTGGTCAGCAGCATCATTTCCACACACAGAGGAGAGCTCTGGGATGGGCAGCACCAGCACCACCAGGGGGCTTATGAGAAACACAGATTTTAGGTACCCCAGACCCAGCGAATCAGAAAAAACATTTTAATGAGATCCCCAGGTGAGATGAATGCCCACTAAAATTTGAGACACACACTCTAGGAAAAGAATAATCTAAATGCAATAGGAAGTAAACATTTATGAAATATGCACTATATATTGACTGTCCAACCAAGGCCATAATTTATGGAAGAGACAGGAATTGGCAGTAAAAAAATTGCTAAGATAAAATAAAAACATTGAAAATGTGAATGAACGAAGGTATTTGTTTTGAGCAGTCACTGAATGCACACATTTTAACAAGAATTCAGAAAATAAAATCATGAAGTGTCACATATAATTTCAAATTCTAAATACATCAACCTGTCATTCTAATTCTTTATGGTTTCCTTTAAGTACTTCATATGCCTGTATAATTTTTACAGAATAGGTAGAATTTTGTAGTTTGCTCCTTTACTTTAAAATTTTCAGAGTTTTCTCCCTGTACTATAAACTTTCAAAATTTATGATCTTAAGTGGCAGCTTATAATTCTGTTAGGTTGATGTATCAAGATTTACAAAATTGTTCCCCCTGTTATTAGACATTTGGGTTGTTTCCAATATAAATAATGCTGCAAAATATCTGTGCATATGAGATTTAACCTCTTTCAAATTATATTCTTGGAATAAATTCCCAAGGGTGAGAGCATGGTGCCAGAGGATGTAAAAAATTTTTATGACTGTTGATATGCTTTTGACAAATTGAAAAGTATTTCTTTAAAAATATTCAATTTGGAATGAATTTAGCTATAAAGTCACTTTGTCCTTTATTTTATTTTCTTTGAATAAGTAATATAGCAGAATGAGCTAAAGAAGCAAAAGACATTCCTTTTTACCACTATTTGGGACAACTCTAGTGATTTGATTAGTGGTGGTCAAAACGAGAGATCATGGACAGTAACAATCCCTATCTCAGTGGTACCCCCTGGGAAAAGCAGTCGTGATTTTAGCATATGGTAGTGGTATAGTGGCCCCCAGAAGAAGAATGTTCAGTTGGTTTTGTCAGTGGTCCTTACAGAGTGGGCTCCCAGTAGGGGAAAGGTGACCATCCTCTTGGTGAGTATCAGACAGACCGTGTCCAGTCCGGACAGCTGTGCATATGAGCTGTCAACTGAACAGTGACAACCAACAAGCGAATGCTGGTGAGTTACTTAACCTATTAGAATCTCAATGTCCTCATTTGACTTGTTGGGGGAATTAAGCGAGATAGCACATGTCAAGTACTCTGTTACTGCTTTATGGTGCACAGTGGGAGCTTACAGAAATGGTCTGCATCATTATTACCAAGAGAACAATTCTCCCACTTGCTAGAAATCATACTCAATTCTTAAGCATTTGTTGAATTCCTGCTACGTCCAGGCATTTTGCTCAGGGTAATGGCCCAGGATTAGGGTCCCTAACATCAAGCATTTCAGGGAGGTGAGGGGGAGAGACTGTCTGCTATTGGACTGCAGAGAAGGGGGACGTGGTGCATGGGGATGTTGCAGGGTAGGGTTGGAGAATGGGTATGATGGAGTCAGGCTCTGGGGGACAATAGGATTTCTCCAGGCAGAGAAGTAAGGAGTTGGGGGTGGAGGGAGGTTAGGGAGGAGTGAAGGGATTCACAGGTAAAGGAGAGAGCAAGAGCAGAAATCAGCTTGGGAAGATGAAGAGAAATGATCCATGATGACCGGAGAAGTCCGTTACTTCAGCCAACGTGACCTGTTCTCTGGTCTGATCAGTTCTGAGGAGTAGGGATACAAGTAACAGAGTGGCGTGTGTGTTTTTTTTTCAATGTTGTTATATTGGAAAAACTGCTCTGTGTTGCCCTGTAGTTGGAAGTAGACGAATGTGTGCAGCATTTGGCCAAGGTCTTTCCAGTTGGATGCCTTTTCCACTTGAAGCTCCCCTATTAGACTAAGCTCCAAGAGGAAAGGGGTCATGTCTGTTTGAGAGGCTGACACTGCAAGGCATACAGTGGGCACTGGATGAATGTGTATATCTCTAAAACAAACAAAAAGGGAGCAGGAGAATAGCAAAGTTTTCTAACACTTGGTCACAAATGTATTAATAGCACAGTTCATTTATAATCCTTTCATTCCCCTGAAAAGCTGCAAGCTCAAGTTCACTTCAAAAACCATCTCTTCTCTTCCTTCAACTTCGCCATGTAGTCGCCATGCTCTCCTACCTTCATCTGCTCACTACTGCCTCAAGGAAAACATTCAAGTTCCTTATCATAAAAACTAAGGCCACCCCGATGTAACCTCAAGCACGTGCCTATGTCCATGTTCACTCTGCCTGAAATCTTGTGCTTTACTAATATCAAGCTTCCTGCAGAGCCCACACATACTATGTTTGTCACCTCTGACCCTCCTCCAGATGGGAACAACTGGAATGTTCCTCTCTCCCACCTCTCTTCTTTAACTCATTGTCCAAGCCTCGGCCCAGATGCTCCAGAAGTTTGCCCCAATCCTCTCAGGGGAGATGGTCAGCCCTCCTGCCCCTCCCGGCCCTCTGGTTTGCTCCTTCACCGGGCCCATACCTATCTCTGTATGCGGCATCCCAATTAGACTTAGGTGGCATCTCCCACTCAGAGGACAGGGACCATGTCCTCCTCATCTCTGTATGTCTGCTACCTGTCACAGTACCTGGTGCACACAAATGAACGAATTATCAGAGATGTGAAGAAACTAGCGGGGTGGGATTCAGAGCCAGTGGTGATCGAGTCAGGGCCATCGTTCAGTGGAGACAGGAAGATACAAAAAATAAAATTAAATAATTAACAATGTTCTTATATCTCCCTATCATGCTTCCTTTTACCCTTACAGGAGTAAAATAGGCTTAATAAAAGGTGTAAATGTCATATCTGATAAAGGTATGACCATGCAGATGTCTACGTGGGCCAGCTAAGCTTAATTTCATATTTTAAGAGACAAACTGAAAAAAAAAAAAAGCAGCAACAAAGAGAACTGCAGTTGGGGAAGGAAACAGGATACAGCAATAAAGGTCCAGGGGCTGTGGCTTCCCAATGCAAAGGAAATATGGAGGCAAATAATGTGTAGAAAACAGAAGAAAGTGCCAGATTCTCACACTTTGCAGACTGCTCTGAAATATGGCATGGAATCATTTTCTAGGTTACTTGTTTTTGAATATCTGGCTGCTAAGGAAAACAGTGTGGAAAAGGTGTGCTGGAGCACAGTCGCTAATCACACAAGGAAGCACCACTTCCTAAGGCGACATCCACACGTATCAGCTTGGAAATGGACAGCGCGCACTGCTGTGTATCTGTGTATTGACGTGAGCAGGGGACAAGCTACTCCCACCGGCAGGTTCCAGTTCCCAGACGCTTCCTGAGAATGGTCAACAGAGCAACCTGTAAGTTAAGTTTTCCTAGTGATCTGAAATAAGCAATTTAGTCACTTACCCTATTTGCTGCTATTGATAAAGTTTAAAAGACGTACATGCTAAAGAGTTACTTAATGTTGACTTTAATAGACAGCTGTTCTTGAGTCATGAAGCAGGGATACTTACTATGACTTTGCATTCTTGAAAAGCATGTAATATGCTTTTCTGAAAGCTGCATATTTAAAAAGGCTCGCAGGGAAATGTTTGCGTGTGCCACAACAATTATTTGTCTTGGCAATCTCTTTTGGGGGGGTGCGGAGGTCACAGCTATTCACCTTACAACATGACGGAAAACAGGAAACTGACTGATACTCTTCTGTGTAAGCACAGAAGCTGTTAGGTCATGATTTGGTAGCAAGGCTTGACTCAAACTTTATAACCCATAACCTGTTCAGAAAGGAAGAGTCGGTGGGTCTGCGCTGGGAAGGGACTAGCTGTTTGGACAAAGACTGTTAGCACTTTCGCAGGAAACAGAGCTCAAGGTTCAGGTGGAAAGTGACAACCGATCCTGCACAACCAGGCTCCTGCTTTCTGTGCGGCTCTGCGAGGGCGCCCTAAGTCACACCGGACAAACTGAACAGAAACGGCAATAAAACACGACTGGCAGGCACATACCGTGTCTATGAAATTCTTCGACGAGGCAGAGGGATGATTTTTCTATGTCAAATTATCCTATCACGTGTCCAATGTGCAGTACACAATGCATTGAAGATTTTCATCACAATGAGGACTCAGATAAGCAAGTACCAATCAGCTAACTTACAAAAAAAAAAAAAAAACATTTACATCACTACCTCATAGGGGGGACCTAAAAATTAGGGGTTCACAAAATTCTAGAGTTCTGAGGA